GGGCTAGACTATTGTAGGTACGCGCTATTTCAATTCACTCGTGCAGAGGGTTCCAATATGATGATACATCATCACGGGATGATGAAATAACTACGTTGGCTTAACCATCTGTTACGACCGGGGAATCACTCCACAAAAAATTTTATACGAATGGACACCTGACAGAAAAATTAATCACGAAAATATTTCTTGATTAATATTACACAGATGTCAATGTTAAAGTACGTTTACCCTGTATATTTTGGTATAGTTCTCTTAAAAAATATTAAAACAATATTATCTTACAAACTTATTGCAGGAAATTCAAGATTAAAAAGATAAAAAGATTTTTTTATCTTATAATAAAACACTTATAATAAAATTGAAAATATAAAAAAACTACTGATAAAAAGACAAACAGAAATAAAATGCAACACGAGAATTGTTATAAAATGTAATCTTTATAATTTGATTTAATTTTAACTTTACTGGAAATGGAAATGTATAAGGGATTTTCAAAACGCTTTTTTTCCCTACAAAGTAGCCAAAAATTTTTTAAAGTGAAATAGAACTTTTTATTTTGTTCATAGTGACAACCGAGAAAATATACTTTCAAATAAAGCTACTAACAAAAAATCGAATAAAATACAAAACTGTAGGGAAATTATACCAGGTAAACAGAAAGTATGGAACCAAGTATGGAAGTATAGAACCATACATACGTATGTCTTCAAGTTGGTTGAATTTAAACTGAAAAACTTTATACATTTTTGATTTTTACATTCTGACAGTTTTATCAAATGTTTTGTAAGATTTAATATAACTTTGGGAGAAAGTGATCATATAAGAATGATTTTGTTTATAATTTTGTTTGTCGTAATTAAATCGAAGACTTTAACTGTGATTGGATATTTTCTGTTGGTGGGCCAGATCAAATGTTATAACGGTGCTACTTTACAATAACAGTACTATAAAATTTTAACGTTCCTCATAAATAAAATTTTTCGATTTTTTTTTATTTTTGAGTTCTGCATTTTTTTTTACATGACTACCTCGTATAAAACTTTTTTCTACAAAGGCTATAACCTAAGAATTACAACTACATTTTAATCAATTTTTATCTGAAAAAAAAATATATATGCTCATCGTATGTTGTCATTTTGAAAAAAAAATCATAACCCAAAAACGAAATAAAATCATTCACAAAACACAGTCACTTTTTTTATAGCACTTTAATTTTTATTAATTGTTATTTTTCACCTACTTAATATTTGCTGTATTTTATACTATAATTTTCCATATGCTTTTTATTAACAGATCTCAAAATAGTATATTATACAACGAGCGTATAATGATGGTTATTATTCACTCAGTGATTTACGCCACTCGCCTGCGGCTCGTGGGCGTAAACTTCACCTCGTGAATAATAACCATTATACGCGAGTAGTATACTATACTTTATCCACGATTACTAAATATTTTTGTTGAAGCATTTTTGTTGGAAATTTTGTTACATTAAGTATGTTAAGAAACAGATATACGACACACACATTCAAAGTTGGTAATGGCTCTGTGTCGATGCTGGTTGCCTTTCTAATAATTTTTCTGCTATTAACGAACTGTTAATTTACGTAAAAAATTGACTAAAGAAAATTTAAAATTTTTGGTCATCTGATTCTGTTATTTAAGTTTCAAATTTTGATTTACTTTGCTATATAATTGTGTTTAATTCAAAAAATAATATATTTGAATTTTTAAAGCCGTACAAAAATTAGAAATTGACATATTGTTGAAAAACTACGCTTTTTTAAAATTCTGTCTTTGTTCTAAAAAAATACGTGTATCAATGTAATGCATGTAGGTACACGATTTTTTGTAATTAGAAGTGGGCGTGGAAGTAAAAATTGTCGCACCTAGAATTTTTAGAAAAAGTTTCTAAACTAGAAGAGAATACAAATGAATATTTTTTTAAAGACTGCTTTGTGTCTGCATATCAGTCGCACGACTTGTTGATGATGGTTTGGTTCTAGTAATTTGAAATTTCCTTAGTGTGGAACGTCTGTAGCGTATAAAGATTGTCAACATGGAGATTTGCGAGTGAAGCAATGAGGTTGTGTGATACGTGAATGTGTCATGTGAACGCGACATGTCGGTGTAGGGCACAGCTAAGCCGAGGTAATCCCATCATCCGATAGTGTCATGTCATTCTGTCAGGTCAGTCGAGCGAGGGTCAAATGGACTCGGCGCACAGGCGCAGGCAAGTTCCACCACAGGACCACTCAAAGATTCCTGGGTGTGGTGAATGCCATTATAGCAATTTACATGAGTGCGTGTCATCTACCTTGTAGCCTGGAGGAGAATTTTGCATCATAGAAATTAAAAAACAGCACCATACATACGGCTGCAATATTTGTTCGCCGGAAGAATATCTCATTTCGAGACGGTTTTTAATGTCAATATTTTTATTTATTAATAGGTATCGTAACATCGCTCAATTCTGTATCCGTATTAATTCCGAGAGCGCCGTAAGCTCGTCACATGTCTGCACAATAGCCCCGTTCCCACACTATCATTCTGATGGCCTATTTATTCGGAACCGCTGATCTTTTGCTCCCTTTAAAATGCTGAATCAATAGATTAAATTGCGAGCGAATTGAATCCCGTTTGAATCAGAGCAGCGAGCGCGAAAAGTGATTAAGATTTTAAAGATCTCTTTCAAAGCCCGTATCATTTTAACACTCAAAGTTAAACAGTATTTTTTAGTCGCTTTTACATTTTTAAAAGAGCTAAAGGGATTTATTCTTTTATTAGCTCAAGCTTTTGTACTTATCAAGTTCCAGACAATCGTGATGTCGTTTTAATTTTTATGCTTTATACTACATCTTTAACTGAAACGGGGATTTTAAGGATAAAAGAATTCACTCTGTGAAACTTATTCAATATCTAAGCCTTAATCCAAACTAAAAAGGCGAGCGGGATTTCAGCACAACGACAAAGATGTTAACACCACCGTCTACATTATTTTACTCCCGATATTAAAAAGCACATTTTATCGCCCACTTCCTTATTACATTATTAATTACAACATTAAATACCTTCTCTAATTAAATTTTTAAATTTTATTTAAAATTAAAAGTCTGATTCATCAAAACTGACAAATCGTTCTGATTTAGTCAGGACAACTTTAAGTTTGTATTGATTTGTCCTGATTTTAAGATTGTAATACGCCGTAAACATTATTTGATTCTCTGAAAAACTCATTTGAAAGTTAAACACTTAGAAATCACTTACAGTGAGGAAATTAAACTTTAATTTAACTTGCATTTTTTTAAGTGAAAGACTGTCAATGCAATTCATTTAAAAAAAATGAAATTAACAAAATTAATTTAAGAAATTGAAATTGTTATTGTTATTGCTTTTAAATTTTATACAATTATAATTGTATACCTATTTTATTTTTGCTTAATGTTCTGTAATAAAACTATTATTAATTATTATTGGTCGTGTCCTAATTTTAATTTTTTGGAAGTTACATTACGAGTACATTAGCATTATAAATATTACCTAACACATTTTAAGCTAAAGAAATCGATTTAAAAAAAAAGTAATAGCTACAAAGTCAAAAATTAATAATTATTAACAAATATTTCACTAGATACTGTTGGTAATAACTACTATAAGTGAAATACAAAAAAATAATAATAATAACTGGTAAATCTGTAAATTCAATTATATTTGTAATAATACAATGGCAATGTTTTGAATTAGAAGTTGTGTGAAAAGCAAATATTTATTAGATTCAATAAAACTAAGAAAAAAAAAATGCGTTGAAATCGACTTGGCACTCTTCAAACAATAGTTCATTAGAAATAATAGCAGGCTTGGATGGATATTAACATGGAAAATTAGTTTTAATTTTTTTTTCGGCTGCAGGAGTAACAGAAGTCAAAATCTGATTAATAGAGCTTGTAGTGCTCAAAAAGGGCTATCTTATCGACATTTTTGTCGATTCTCCTCCAATTAACACCATTTGGACGAAAATGGCTCTCGAAAAATCAAAATTTGAATTTGCCGAGTTAGCGTTAATAAGAAACAAACTATAAAGTCATAACAAAGGCAAATTTTCTTTTGGCAACAATGATTTGATAGTTCGTCTTTTAGTAACGCTAACCCGGCAAATTCAAATTTCGATTTTTCGAGGGCGGCTTTCGTCCAAATGGAGTTAATTGGAGAACCGATAAAAACGTCGATAGAATAGCCCTTTTCAGCACTACAAGCTCCATCAATCAGATTTTGATTTCTGTTACTCCTGCAGCCGGAAAAAAATAAAAACTAATTACTCATGTTAATTTCCTATATCCAATTTTTTTCCAAACCTGCCTGGGACACTGAAACTGTAGTGTTCATTATATCGATTTCTTTAATTTAACATTCCATAGTGACAATGAAAAAAAGTTATGATCAATAATGAGTAAAATGCAAAATAAACTTTTTTTTATGAAAATACCTAATCCAATAAATTTTCCAAAAAAATAAAACAATACTTCTAAAAAAAAAATAAAAAAAATCGAAAAAATTGAAGACTTTAAGCAATACGGCAAGTTGAAACGCGTATTGAAAATGCTGGAAATAACTTTAAACAGTTCCCTCAAAGTTTTCGATTTTTTCGATTTGTATTTTTTTCATTGTCACTAAAAAATGTCAAATTAAGGAAGTCAACGTTTATTATTTACTATACCGAGCTTGGTCAAAATAATAATAATCGTAACGGTATTGTTTAAAATTTAAATGTTGAATGGTGTTTTTATGACACAATATCTCATCAGCAACTAAATAACTTTTACTAGATTTTTTTTTTCACTATTCGTTATTATTGGGTAAGAACTACTATTCCCTAAGTTTATGCGTATAAGTTAAGCTCACCCTGTAGAAGATTAAATAAGCTTTGGTTATAAATAAAATGTTGGCGTCAAGTAGGTACTCAATAGTTTATGTGGTTAAACCTGGAAAAATTTTTTTAGCTGTCCAACACGAGCGAGGCCCCCGCAAACCCAAATTGCAAGTATCGTCAAACCAACAAATGCAACCGTCGCCCGTAGGACACAGTTTGCAACAACACATGACAGTGGGCGACAAGTTGCCCACAAGCTCGTCATCCTTGCATTTCACTCCGGGCATTTTCGGAGCACCTCGTCCACTCAAAGCTCTAACCTTACCACCACCGCCAGTCCCCAGTCCAACACATATCGACGCTTTACCGCCCTCAATGTTTCACCCTCCAACGTTACCGCCACCACCTGGACTCTTACACATCCTCATGTCGGCTGAAAAGTGCCAGGTTTGTGACACATTAAAATTTCCCATTATTAATTATTAATTCACAAAAGGAACTTGTTTGGGGTACGAAACTGTCCCAGATGGAATCACCCTCTTCAAGCGAAACCAACTCCGGAATCAACATCAGTCCGGGAATTCCGGTTGCCCAGCCGCCTCCGATTCCGCCGCTGCCGCTCACTCCGACTTGGGAGATGTTGCAGGTAATTTAACTGCCACGTGTCGTTCACGTGGTTGCAACCCTCGACCCTTTGGCAGTAGGAGTGGTGTAATCGAGTGACTTGTTGGCATTCGCAGTGACTTTTCAGCTGCTGTCGCAGTTGGTTGAATTTCGACCATCCCACACTGACGGATCCGCCTACTTTCAGTTTTACATATTTCAGGAAACTACTGCTCGGCTTTTGTTTATGGCAGTTCGATGGGTGCGATGTCTGGCTCCCTTTCAGACGTTGAGTAAACACGACCAGCTTTTGCTGCTGCAGGAATCGTGGAAAGAACTTTTTTTGCTGCATTTAGCCCAATGGTCAGTCCCATGGGACCTTTCGGCTTTGTTGGGCTGTCCACAAGCTAGGGAGCGCTTGCCGGCTGATATTCACACAGCTACAGAAATTAAAACCATACAGGTAAGTACCTAAAATTACTGAAAAGTTATGAAAACAATTTGATTTCTCTCAAGGAAATTATGTGCCGTTTTCGTCAAATCTCACCTGATGGTAGCGAATGTGGGTGCATGAAAGCTATAATTTTATTCACGCCTGGTAATTACATGAAATATTTTTTGTTTTGGTTTTATTTTTTAAATGTGTTTAGAGACAGCAGGTTTGTGTGATGTTCAACCGGTTGAAATGTTGCAAGATCAAGCTCAGTGCATTTTGGGAGATTATGTTCGCACTAGATATCCCAGACAACCGACGAGATTTGGACGACTGCTCCTTCTTGTACCCAGTTTGAGAGCTATTCGATCACTTACAGTCGAATTGTTGTTTTTCAAGGAAACTATAGGCGAGATTCCTATAACACAGTTGTTAGGAGATATGTATTATATGGAAAAGTGTACTAGTGGCCCACCTTAAATGTTGTTTTCATGTGCTAAAATATATCACTTTAAACACCTATTTCATGAAAGTTGTACAGTTTGAATAGTTTCTGTGATAAAAGAATATATGTCTTATTGTTGATTTCTTTTATGGTTTTAGGTCTACCTCAATTAGCAGCCAAAAATTCATTACTGATGTATATTACTATTTTGAAAATTTATTTATTTATTCCTATAAAATTTGATTTTATGTTATTATTTTATGTTGTATGATTGAATAAATTTTTTCAACGTTTGTTTCTTTGCTTTATCCAATGTTCACCTACAAACACATCTTTAAAAATTGAACTGAGTTACTTCAGAGAGCATGAATTAAAAAAAGTAGAGGTATGCAATCAAAAAAAAAATAAAAAAACGGGTTAAACCTGTAATAAGTAATTAAATAAATTAAGAAATTTATTCAGGTAAGTACTAAAATTTGAATTTTGTGTTACCAGACTAAAAAATGTTTAAATTAAAAAAATAAACAACAATTTTGTTTTATTTACTTTAAATTAGTAGTTTTATTTAATAGGTATTTGTTCAAAATAGTGTAATAAATTTATATTATTTTTAATAAGTATATTAATACATATACAATAGAAGATTACATACTCGAAGTGGGATGTGCTTCATTAATCATTCTAAGCCAAGATACGGAGAATCAACAACCATCAAGGTTTGTATACTATTTTACTTACAATTAGAACAAAAAGCCAATAAAGAACTTAGCAAGTGGAAGTGGTCACTTTCTTATCAGTTTTCGGGTTGGCAAGTGACCATTTCCTAACCTAAACGGTCATATCAACTGATATGGGAGCAAAGGATGGGAGCGACCACTTCTCAACCTGAGCTGTCTTATTTCATATCAATTTAAATAAAGTTGAAATGCCATGCTTTGCAACTTCCAACATACAAGATAATTTGTTTATTACTTTGTGAATAAAAAAATAATGAAGTAAAATGGAATGAAAATACTATAATTAAGTCTTTAACGAATTTTATATTGTTTTTTATTATTATAAATATTATCTGTTTGTTTTGTTTTTGTTTTGTGGTTTTTGTTCTTTTATTTATAATATTGCTAAATACATAAATACGTATCATTTTTCTAAAATTTGTCAATAAAGTTTAAACAAGTATAAGAGTTTTCACAAAGTTTTTATCTGTACTTCTCGGTGGGAAGTAAAAACCGTTTTTTTTAACTCTGATTTATAAAAATGATGAAAAAATGCAAAAATCTTCAAAATTATTCAGTTTAGAACAATGAACAAAAAAAATGATCAAAAACTCTAAATTTAATCATAAGTTTTCTTTGAGAGTATAATTAATTAATATTTTATTTGTATTTCTTATTTTTTTAAGTATCTACTTTTGAAAAGTTTTTAGTTTTTGTTATAGTAACGTATTTTGATAGGGACAGAAAAAATAAAATTCATAGATTTATTAGAGATTAATCTTTTGGAATTGCTTTATTCTGAGTGAACAACTTGAATAAAGTTCTACCTTTAATTTTAAATTACAAAACTTTGGAAATTGCACAAGCTTTATCGTCCTAGAATAACTGGAAGAAATATATTATTTATTAAGCTTAAGACGAGACGGTCAAAATATGCATTTTCTTGGCTGCGAAATTGGAATTGGTAACCAACAAATCCCCTATATGTATTCCACGTTCTAACAGCTTTTGCGGAACTTCAATAAAAACGCAAGCGGGCGAAGTATGCGGCCTCCTTGCTCTTTTTATGTTTTGTCGCGGAACGAATTCATTAGCAGTTTTTGGTCTCTCGTTTGTTTTTTCACAAACTTTCGTTGGAAAGCTAATTACATTAGGACTGAAACACTGCTTCGCCCCATTACCGGTATTGATCTTTTGTTTTTGCGCTTTTCTTCGTGCTACATCTTTCAACCATTGGCAAAACACTTCCTCGTTCTGTTGATTTTTTCGGTTTTTGTATTCATGCATTAATTGCTGACGTTTTTGCTCTTTCAGTTTAATTATTTCTTTGCGACGTTCGCGTTTTTCCAGCTCTTCGGAACTCAAGCCGTATTCGGAACGGTGGCCGTTATAACAAGGAAGATTTGTGGGATTGCGAGATTTATTCTCATCGCAACATTTGCGACTTTGGAGTTTCAGTAAAGGGCATTTAACCGGTTTTTCGTGAATTTCCAATTTTTTTATAGACATAGACATGTCGAAGTCTAGTCGTTCAATACAATGATTTTTACACTCAATGTGCACATTTCCTGATTTTGAGGATTTAGATAGAGGCGATTTTTTTCTGACTTTCTTCTTTTTTAAGGTAGATTCCATATTACAACCGCTTGATGAAATTCTAACAGTAACATTTTCGTTTTGTTCCGAACATTCCGATTCGTTAAATTCCTCAAAAAAATTTGTTTTATTGTCAAAATTATTTCTGATAACATCGGATTCATCTGGTACTATCTCTTCGACAACTTCCTCGTCAATCTCTTCCTCTTCGTTTATATCAAAAATATTTAAATTAATTACATTTGAACTTTTATATTCCAACATTTGACCCGAATCTGGCACAAAATCACTTTCAGGGGGGTCACTTTCAATGCTGTTAACATCATCATCAGTTAGAAACAATTCAGGTTCATAAGAAGTTAACTCTTCTTTGAACTTAACTCGTGAAGTTTTTTCCATGGTTGTGATACTAGTACTGAATAAATCAATATTAGCCTGCTGAACTTTTTCCGCAATATTATAAGGGGATGATGCGGGTTGTAAGACTGCAATATTTTTCATTAGAAACGGGATTGTTAAATCAATAAATTTAACTAAAACAATTGGCACAAACTTACAATAGCTTCCACAGTCATCATCTTCATTATCGACATTTTCTTGAATTTTATTCAACACAAAATCCATTTTTATTCAATTTTAAATAAATAATTAATTTAAATATTTTCTTGAGCGCCTCTTTGCTCACTGTCTCCACACAAACCAGATGGCGATGTTTATTGTGTTTGTCTCCCGGGAAACACGAAAACAATTTTTGACATTTGACAGTCATCGAAAGTCACCGGTTGTTTTGATATTCGATTGATTTTTTCTCGCATTTTTCGGCATTTTCTTATCAGTGTTTAAGCAAACACTTCATTTTTGTCCGAGCTACGTTGCAGATTAACCTAAAAATGCGAAATTTATGCATTTTTGTGTTTTTATGTGTAAGTATTTGTTTAGGGGCTACACCAGATGAGGAATCGTGTCATAGATTTGGAGCCGGTACAGTGTACCCCCTTGGAGTAGACCCCAAGAAGTCTGAACATAAATTACAATGGACCCAAGCTGTTAGTGAGTGATTAGTGTGAACTAGATTTCAGAATTTTAATTTTGTTTTTAAGTTTCTAAACCGGCCCCTTTTTGGGAAAGTACGGCCGTGGTCGATGGAGAGTTTGTGCAGTTGAAATCCACTGACTTTCTGGGAAAATATTTAGTTTTCTTCTTTTACCCCCTTGATTTGTAAGATACTCAAATTCGTTTCATTTTTAATTAAATTCATGTTTTCAGTACTTTTGTGTGCCCCACTGAAATTCTGGCATTCAGTGATAGAATCCAAGAATTTCGCGATATTAATACAGAAGTTGTTGCCTGTTCAGTTGATTCGCATTTCACTCATCTTGCTTGGATTAACACACCTAGAAAAGAAGGAGGGCTTGGAAAAGTAAAGATTCCACTTCTTTCGGATTTGAATCATAGCATATCGAAATCCTATGGCGTCTTTTTGGAAGATTTGGGGCATACTCTTAGGTTTTATATTTGGTTAAATATTCATACTTAATTTTAATTTGATTCTGCATTTAGAGGTTTATTTATTATTGATACTAAAGGAGTACTTAGACAAATCACAATGAATGATTTGCCAGTAGGCAGAAGTGTTGATGAAACTTTAAGACTGGTACAAGCCTTCCAATATACAGATAAACATGGGGAAGTATGTCCTGCTGAATGGAAACCAGGCCAGGATACAGTAAGGTTAATATTCGCCCAAATTTTGAGTTTAATATTGCTTTATTTCAGATTATACCTAATCCAATTGAGAAAAAAAAATATTTCGAAAAACATTAATCATCACAAAATCAAAATGCATCATCAAAATAATACTTTTTTTTATTGACATCACTTGATAAATAATAAAACGAGAAGTTAAAAAGCGAAATAAAATTTACAAAACGTAACATAATCAGATCTATTTTTTCTTAGTTTTAGGACTTGACAACGTGATTAATGGAATTCGTCTTGGGGGTTTATTTATTATGTCTTCTGTGTTTGATACTATTTTATTTTCTGCATCGTTAGTGGAGGCGGTGTTATCTGTAGAGACATCAACAATTTTCGAAACACAATTTTCAGTGACTTCTTTCTTGTCATCATTAGGCTTCTTATTCCCTTGAACACAATTTTTACTATTTGTGTCTTCTAAATGTAAACTGAAGTCTTCTGTGCACTCATCATTGCGTACTGTAGGTTCTGCATTTTTATTCTCATCTTTGTCACAGTGCCAACCGTCTCTAGCTTCTAATTCGTCTAAAGTTAAAACTACTGTTGATTTTTTAGGGTCTAAAACTGGTGATTCAATTATTTTTTCTTTCGTGATAGGTTTGAGAAAATTTAAAAGTGGGCTAGCTTTAGGCGTGGAACGTTCATTTCTGTTGCTGGTAGCTAAAGGAGTGTCATTTTTTTGGTTTTGAACATTTTCATCCTTGACAGGAATCGGTTTTATTCGTTTTGGGATCAATCTGTTTGGTTCTTCAAGTTTTCTTTTACTTGTATCTTCATTTTTCTTATCACTATCAGAAATTCCTTTTTTTCCCTTCTTGGGCGTCTTGATTGCCCATTGTTCCAACAAATTTAATTTTTTCGGTTTGTTAACATCAAGATTCTTATCATCATCCGGTAATTCCTCACATCCACTAATATCTAACACACTTTCCTCAACTTCCTCTTCTTTAATATACTCCACTCCTAATTCATTAGGTTCGAAAGTGATAAGAGCGCAAAATCCATCCGTTGAGGATGCAACTAACAATTGGCCATCTTTAGACCAAGTCAAATCTGTTAATCTTGTATAGTGGATGTCTTTGAAATAAGCAAAAGGCATCTGCTGTTGAGTGTCATACAAAATTATATCATGGTCAGTTCCGATCGCTACGATCATTCTGTAGGGTAAGGACACTAATGAATCAGGGCCATCTTCTTGTAGTTCAAAAAGAATTGGACAGAAACGGACTACTGTACTACACTGTTTTCCTGATGGAAACAAAAAAACTGGACTAAAAACGAAGTACATTATTGTCACTCCCTTAGAAAATTTTTTACTCACCCTCCCCAGTTATCTACTGCAAAAACCAAAGTACAGTTGAGAATCTTTTTACAGTCTTCAATTTCAATGCGACCTGAAGGAACAGCTAGTAGTGAACCATCAGGAGAAAAATCCAGTCTTCTGAAAAATGACTTGAAAGTGTCGTCATGAAAAAATTTTACGTCCTTGTTGTGAAGGTAATGATCTTCTGGTACTGGTAATAATCCTTTATGCATTCTAGCTTTCACTTGTTTACCAGTGTTTTCAAAAATACGACAAATTCTATCAGTACTGATTGTTGCCAAAAACTGACCCCTAGGATCCCAAGAAACGCCCTTCAAATTTGCAACAATTAAACACTCCAATATTCCACTTATTTAAAAAATACCTGGACAAACCCTTTGTGATCTGTTAAAATCTGTTCATTTTTGCCTTTTTGAAAGTCCCACAAAATTGCGGTGTTATCTATAGATCCAGAAAGTAGTTTTAAACCATCAGGTGACCAACACAAATCGTAAATGTCTTCTTTGTGTCCTCGCATAATCTAAAGATGTTTTATTCATTGAAGAATTTTCACTCATATCAACTCACTTTATGCACTATCCATGTTTCCTTATCATTGGTTTCTCCTTCCAACAAAGGGATATTGTCGGTTTTAAGTTGCCAAATAATGATATTTGCGTCGTCATCAGCTGTCGCAAGATACTGCCCCCCTGGTGACCACCGAACTGAATTAACAGCCCTTTGGTGTCTTGTTAAATCAGATAAAGCTTCAATTTTAACACTACCGTTTTCGTTTATTGTTAGTTGCCAAATCTAAAAGACGGTTTTAAGTCATTTAATTTTATTTTAAACGGAAACTTACCAAAACATGACAATCGGCACCACCAGTTGCTAACCTATAAAATTTTTCAGAAACAGGTTGAATATGAACACTCAAAACGGGCTCCCGATTGTGCCATGATATTTCAGGTATAGTACACTTCATATTACGATCAATGACTTCAATTCCTAGAAATGAACACAATAAACACACAATTATTTTGTGGAAAACAAGCAGCCAACAAAAATATTAGAAAGTATTTGGCGCCAAATAACTAGTAATAGAAAATGTCATTATTGGGGATTTTGTTTTCTAAGTTTTATACAAACAAATTTTTATATTTGGAAATAAACAATTTGATTATAATTACAAAATTTTCAGTAAACAGTCAATATATCAGATTATTGAAAAATTGCATGCAATCTTTGTTTAAAATTGATATAAAAATTACAGACTGTGAATTTTGGTAAATTTAGTTTTGGACCGTTTGAGTTGTCAGCACTGTCTGCATGAGTTTGTGGAGGTTAGGAACCGTCTCGATTTAAAAAAAAACGTTCTCAAACAAAAAATATTTGTGATTTATGTTCGTTACCATTCTGATTTATTGTTGAAATTTAGCAAATCTGGATGAAAAAGTAGAAACAATGATTGCTGCCTCAGAGCCACAGGTTCGGCATTTTTACTTACTCATTCATTATTTTATCCAAAAATTTCCAGGAGTTTGTTCCAAGTGGACGGCAGCAAACATTGAAACATCCAGGGCCCAATGGAGTGCCTCCACAAAAAAGTTTCGGTCATACTGACGACCTACTTCTTGATAAATTTGAAAAAGTTTCAATTAAAGAGAAAAAAGATAATGAATGGTGGATTTTGAGGAAAACCCCTTTACATGAGTCTGTACCAAGTTGGTGCTACGAGACAAAAGACATTTCTTGTAGTAAAAATAATGTGAATCAAGATTTACACAAGTCATCTTGCAGAATTGAAGCTTTTGAGAAATCTTACAGTTATCAAGGTTGTGATAATTCACTCAGGACTAGCAAAAGATTATCTGTGAATTTCTCAAAATTTCCAGCTAAACATGAAATTTCCAAGAAGAATGAAACGAACGGTATGTTTACATTTAGTTTATTGCAATTTGTGTTAATTATGTAATTTTTAAGAGTCGAATTGTGAGGGATCTTTTGGAAGAAATCACGTCAGCTTTATGGAAGATGAACTTTATGTCAAGGGACACACAGCAGTGTGGTCTAGAGGTTTAAACAATTGTGACAATTTAGTTAATAGTAGAAAAACAATTTGTGCTTACACTTCCCCTTTACCTATAAAACACGCTGCTTGGTGTACTTTCCACTGTGAACATCCCAGATATGAAACTGATGCATTTCCATTTTATAATAAGCACGAGGAATCTAAAGGAGAGCCTGTTCCTGCTCTTTGTATCATAAATTCACATAATATTCATGTTTTCACTCAAAAAGGTGAAGATTTTGTCACTGCTATACCTTTCCAAATTAGTAAAATGTGGAATATGAAGTATGGTATACTTCTGGATCGGGAAAATGAAGGTTTGTAATTTTGCAAATTTTTCTTTCGTTACTGTTTTTTTTTTATTTTAAAGGTCACAATTTAACCTTCTTTGAAAACAAAGCAACTCTCTATTCCTTAGCGTTTCCATTTGATGAGGTTTGTCCTGTTGCAATTAATGTTGGTACATACATACAAGTCCTAAATAATAATAATTTTCAATTGGTCTATACTAATGAGAATCCAAGCATTTGTATGATTTACGATACACAAACCAGGCAACACAGTGTCTACGTTGTTAGAAAAGTAACAAGAAATGAGAAAATGGAGTTTGCAAATAGGATGAATAGCACATGCCCTTCAGCGACCAGTCTATCAAATAAGGTAAGATTGGTTAAAATTTACAGTTGTAATAATAATAATTTCAGTTGAAAAGTCGTCTTTCAATGTGGGATTGTGGCAAAAACTCAAACTATTTAAGTGTCCCTAGCCCCATAAACAGTAGACCGGGAAGCGTAGCAAGTTTTTATAACCAAATGCATCACTCTAAATCTCACAGTTCAATGGCTACAATCAGGTGAAACCGTTTCTAAAATAATGTTTCTGAAACATAATTCGAATTTCTATAGTCGTTGCCAGTCACCTGCCACTTCTTCTATTGGAAGTCCTTGGTTGCAAAGAGCTTCACGCCTGAACACTTCTATTCCAAGCGCGGCTAATTATTATGTATCAAACAATTTTTCATTTTTTGACTCTTCAAAACCAATGTCGTACCTTCACACCACTCCAATTATTTGTCTAGACCACCTCTGGACTGACCCTAATTTGACTCAGTAATTTTCTTTATCTAAAAAATATTCAATTATTAACTTATTTTTGTAGAGATGATAATATATCGAGTTCTGCATCCAAAGTATTTTTGTGTGACGATTTAACACACCAGTGGTATCTTTGCTACATTCTACCAGTCAAATGTCAGTTGTGTTTGGTCCAAATCGATTTTTCAGATCCAAACAATATTCGATTTGGCATGATGAATAGCATAAGTGCCAAAGATGCAGTACCGATTCCTGTAAGTATTACAAACAATTGACTTTTTAATTATAATTATGATTTAGGTGTGCCATATGTTGGCAGTTTTGGAACAGAACGGTAACGTAAGTTTATACTCTGGTCTTACTTTGGTGGGGAAATTGCACATAGGGGGTACTCTAGTCCAACACACCCCATCTCCCTACGTTCGTAGAAACTTAGCTCAGTTTAATTCACCTTTCCCTAGGTAATTTACTTTTGTAAAATCTTTAAAATTGTTTAATAGTGTCATTTTAGACGGAGTAGTCTTTTGCCCCATTGTTTACAATTAGATCCGAAATTTGATGAGCATTTATTATCGCCGGTGCTGCCAGAAACAACGAATGTGTCTAATATTTTACAGCTGAATTTTCAACACGAAAGCAATTTGCCTAAAGCTGTGTTGAACGGTTTACGTGACCCTATAGAAAACCGAATTACTCTAAGATACTCTGATGGTACTTACTATAGAATCACTTTACCCCCATTAACAGCACATCCACTAATTGAAAACTGTGTGATGGCGTTAAAACAGTGTCTAAGTCGTGATACCATTTCTGTGGTTTTAACCAGATGGTATGCCACGAGGAACGCCCCGGGAACCCAAGATATGAATCTTGAACAAGAATGGAATGCATTTAAATCGCTACTTTTAGGTAATTTGGTTTCGTTTTCTATTGAGAGATTTATTATTTAATTGTTTAGAACTTCTGGGTTATGAACAAGACGTTGGTAACACTGAAGATTGTCCCGTAACCCCTTGTAGCAACCCCAAACGACAGAAACACTCAAGTGCCGGTACTGATGAAGATTGGTTGTATTTAATAAATTCAGACTATGCAACGAAGTTAGACAAGTGTCTTAAACACACATTACTTTTAAAATGCAGCTCAAATCACTCTCAAACCAACACAAATACGCTTCAAATTAATGTTAATTCGATTCTTTTTCCGTTTATTGGATTAATTCTCTATTGTTTTCATCTGCTGTATGAGGATTTGAAATTGAATATGTTGAGATCGGACGATTTGAAACTGTTAGCAATTTTTTTACATAAGATAGCCAGTGATTTAGGGTTGGTTGAGTATATGGTGCACTATTGGAAAGATTTTCCAGACAGTTTTTCAATAAAATCAACAGGATATATCGGACCAAATGAGTTAAAACAAGTGAATGAGTATCCGTTCATTCGGGACACACCGATCAATATTATGCAATTTATTTGCGATTTGATACAAAAAGGTGATGGAGTGGGACCTTATCCGTTTGTAAATCATATCAATAACAAGTCAAGGGATATCATTCAGGTAAGTTTTTTTTTTAATGTAAAAATATTTATACAGGGTGTAACGAAAAGCTGAGGACAAAAAGTAATCTAAGATGCCAAAAAACGTGTTAACCCAACTTACTTACTTAGCAAATTGCGCCGTTTAAAAGTTAGAGGGCGTCAAAATTTGAAAATTATTTTCGATTTTTGTAATAACTTTTTAATGGATTAATCGATTTTTATGAAAATTGCTACAGGCAATTTGATATCAAAACTATATGTTTTGGTGCTATTTGTTTTATTTTTTTATTATTTTAAAGTACTTGCCTATTAACAACTTGACACATTTTAAACCATATTATTATATTATATTATATAATTACTTTTTTATACGAGAGGTACATTACTTTTAAACAATTTCTGTATTTTTGTATTGGCCTTGGTTTTAGAGTAAAAAAAATATTTAAGTAGATGTGATAAAATTTTGGATGTTAGCCGTTTATTATTATTGTTTATAAAATTGTGTTAAAACATTTCAGGTTTTAATGTCTTTATGTATGTTTGTGATAGTTAACAATAGTGTAATTAATTATTAATTTCAACAAAAAAATCATAATTTCATTAGCGTCCTCTAACTTTTAACCGGTGCAACTTGGTAAGTTGGTTTAAATCACTTTATTTTGACCTAGGAAATCTTAGTATATTTTTGTTTTATTTTTGGTCCACCGACTTGGGTTTTTTTTTAATGTGTTTTTTTTATCAATGTGTGGGCCTTATAGCCTCTTAATTCAGCTTTAATATGCTTTTTTATATTTTTTTAAGTCAAGTTATCGCTGATATATCTGACTTTAAATGAAAAAGGATCCTTTTGTTTTTGATTATCAATATCTTTACAACCAATGACCGCATAGAGAATGGAAGGGTAGTTTTGTACTGTTTGAGTTGTCAACACTGTCTGCATGAGTTTGTGGAGGTTAGGAACCGTCTCGATTTAAAAAAAAACGTTCTCAAACAAAAAATATTTGTGATTTATGTTCGTTATCATTCTGATTTATTGTTGAAATTTAGCAAATCTGGATGAAAAAGTAGAAACAATGATTGCTGCCTCAGAGCCACAGGTTTGAATGGAAGGGTAGTGTCAAACTGGAATAAGTGTCATACAAGATCCTTTTGCGATTTTTTGATTAACATTTCTTTTGTACTCTCAACATTAATTAAAAAAAAGAGAAAAAAGCAACTTTTTGCGTTGTTTTAATGTATCCTCCATAGCCCTGTAAATTTTTAAATTGATCCATCAAACCGTTTTCCCGGGCCGGTTGATCAAAGTTTTACAAAAAAATAAAAGGAACAATTGTTGTTTCTGAAAATTGTTCAATTTTCATCAAGATGAAAAAATATATTCTTTTTTTTAGAATTTTGCATTAGTTCGTGGACCAAAAACTATTTTTAAGATAACTATTTTCTAAGAGTGCGTGATACCTCCAACACAGAAAATTGAAGCTTCAAAATGTTTTTTTTTTTTATCTAGATACGACAATTTTTCACTCAGATACAGCCTTTCAAAAATCACCAAAAAATTTTTGGAAATTTTTTTCTTCCTTTAATTTTTTGGAGTAGTGTAGTTTTAAAAAAATATTTTTTAACAGATTTGTGGTATCATCTGTAAAGAACTTGGCTACAAGACCATCAATTTGGTTAACTTTATCGAGCCCAATCTCACATCGAACGGAAACACAATTCTTCAAGGGGAAATAATATCTTCTGAGCTGTCACCACCAGAACAAACACTGCTTTTAATGACATCGAAAAAAATCACGATTAGAGATTTAGACACTCTACCTCCAGCGATCTACCTCCTTATCTACAGCACATTGTGGAAATGTCGGGATAATCCTCCTTCAGACTTATCTTCAGATGCTTATTATTTATTATGGCGCGATGATCTCGCTGTTCAAGCACAAAAGTTCCAAAAAGAAAAATCCGAAACAGCTTTAGAGAAAATAGGGATGTATACAACCCAAGAATTACCAGGTGTTGTCCCTACATCAAAACAAGTCGAAAATGAACAACAAGATGGCATGGACGATATTGAAAATCCCTTAACCAAACTCCGCTTTCCTGATGATATGCGAGTTGCCGAAGCTCGGAAAATGCTACAAAGTTCTAAACCAGTTCCGATTGTTCTCGTCCAACGACCCGACGTCTCCGATCATGATTTCATCGAAGAACAAGAAAAACATTTATACGCTGTATGTACCAGAACCATGGCCTTATCAACAGGTCGTGGAATGTTCACATTGCGAACTTCAGCACCGGTTGTAACCGAACCGCTACAAACGCCTCCACTATGCTTAGCCGGGAAAGCGCCTCCTCGTGGTACTACAGTTGAGCTAAATCATATTGATACACCTTCAAATATGAATTTATGGCCGTTGTTTCACAACGGTGTGGCCAACGGTTTACGGATAAATCCCGATGCGCACAATATTGACAATACTTGGATTATTTTTAATAAACCGAAAGGTTCGATGGAACAGCAGATGGAACATGCTGGGTTTTTAATGGCGTTGGGTTTGAATGGTCATTTAAAAAATTTAGATGTCTTAAATACGTTTGATTATTTATCCAAGTTGCATGAAATGACGAGTATTGGGATTTTGTTGGGGTTTTCAGCGGCTTTTAGAGGGACCTCGAATTTGAGTATGACGAAAACTTTGAGTATACATGTGGAAGCAATGTTACCGCCGACGTCGATGGAGCTTGATGTACACCAAAATGTGCAAGTTGCTGCTTTGCTAGGTAAGTCAAAGTTTTAATAAATCAATACAAAAATACGAATAGACACAGGACGTTTTCAAATTTTACAATGCAAAAATCAATAAAAATTTTTGGCTTAAGTAACTGTACAATACTGCAACTTCTAAAGAGAAGCAAAAAAATAATCTAGAGGTGCAAAAATAGTTGATTTAAAGCAATTTCATAGAAAATAAAGTTGCTACCTTCTTTCTTTAAGTTTGTCTTAAATTTTGAATGAATTTGTATAAATTACGAATATGAAACATCTAAGTATTTTTATTAATAATACTGATAGATTTTATACCAAATTTTTCTTATTTTAAATACGATTGAAGAAAAATTTGTTAGTGGTTATAGTTGATTTAGTTCAGTAATTGGAGGGCTCAGAAGTCAATCAGTCTAAGTCACAATTTTTCTCAAAATGATTTATATGGTTCAGATGACACTGTATTGTTAAAAATTTCATTTGGCCAATGCCCGTTAGCACTACTTTGAAGTATTATCAATTTTCTTTCAATAAAGATTTTGGTTTTCACCTTTCATTTTTAACATGATATGACTTAAACTGATTGACATCTGAACCCTCTAATTTATAATAATTAATATTTATTAACAATAAATAATAATTAGTAATTATTTTGGAAAAAAAAACACCTAAAAATATGTGTCTGCCTCATATAGAACTCGCGCCCCAGAGAAAAATGCCATGTAAGATAAGATACCAGGAACATGAAAAAATGTTAAAAAAATATATCTATATAGTATTGAGAGTTTAAATTTTACTCTTTGACTCTATTTATTTCTGTTGGAAAAATAATTTTCCAAGTTTTTTTGCTACAGGCTATTAGAAGAGGAAACAAGAAAGCTGTATCCTAAATTGTATTTGTGGCTTTTCTTGTCAAAATTTTTGTATCTTTACTAAATTATAAAAAAAACATACAGGATCATCAGTTTCATTAAATAGACATAAAAAAATGTCAAATGTCAAAAAAATTTTGACAGATAGAATTTTTTAAATATTTTTTCCATGTTACTTATCTTATCTTACTTGATTTTTTTCTCTGGGGCGCGAGTTCTGACACACCCTGTATATTATGCCTATTTTATTTGTAAAAAAAATTCCAGTAAGGAATACGTTAAACAAAATTTTCTAAGCAATTAATCAAATTATTACGAGAAATTTCAGCAATTAAATTCAAGCCTAATATCTCTAATAGTTTACAGTGGGGGTAAAAGCTAAGAGTACAACCTGGGCGTGCATGCGTAGATGACCAAACTGCGTCTCGAACGAGTCCACTTTAAAAAAGAGGGGAGGTTCTGGAAGCAGTGGCGTGCAGATTTGCTTTATTATCGCAATATTTGAGAAAGGACACCATTAGTCCGCTTCCCCTCTTATGTTTGCACGCAGGTGCGCCCAGGTGTGTACTTTTAGTTTTTACTCCACTCTAATAATTTACAAAACTTTGTTCAATTTAGGTATTATTACCAGAAAGTAAATTGAAGGGCGTTTTGAACATCTTTTGTAGAATAAAAATAAAAAAATCAAATTATAGTACTATAATTAGTTATTAATTAATTATATTTATAATAATTATATACATATAATTTTTTTGATTGAAATGTGTGATTTTTAATACTTTTAAACATATTTATACCAAATTTCAGTACAATTGGATAAACCGTTTTTAAAATGTTTAGCTGTGTCCATACTTTTTAGGCAAGTTTTGTAGAACAAGTTCAGATTTCTGAAACGAACAGCGAAGCGCGAGTTTTATAAAGAACGAGTTCCCACAAATTATGTCAATAAGAAACGACTTTTCAATATTGTTTCGCTAATATTGTCATGTATTGTGCAAGGGGGCTGTCGATGTTCTCTCCTTTCTGGATTTGTTGCATTTGAGTTCCTTAATAATACCAAAGTCACCGTCTACTTCTCGTGTATTTTAGAATTTGCTCGTCAGAATCTTTTGAATAAACTTTTGAGATTTCCTTGGAATTTCTTTAGTGCAAGTGTAACATCATCATCTTAAGTGCTAAATGGTTTTACGTTTCAAAGAATCGTGCACACTGTTCAATTTTTCACATCATCAAATCTTAAACCACCTTTAAAATAGTTTTTTGTGTAATCACAAATCTCTGATTTGATTTCTGCATTTGACAGTTTCACTTTAACTTTTGTTTTATGGGAATTTACGATTGAAGAATATAAAATTTTAAACATACCATCTAAAATTTAAATGGCAGTACATAAATATTAAATCCTTAACAGTTTTTAATTTTCTTTATACATTTTTAGTGATAAAAATTTACCTTGCTTTTAGGAATTGGTTTAGTCTACCAAGGCACATCCCATCGCCACATCATCGAAGTCCTCCTATCCGAAATCGGACGTCCACCAGGCCCCGAAATGGAAAACAGCGTCGATCGAGAATCATATTCTCTTGCAGCCGGATTATCTCTAGGTTTAGTAACGTTAAAACAAGGCAGTTGTTCATTAGGCTTGTCAGACTTGAATATATCAGACAGGTTGCATTATTATATGGTCGGTGGTAACCGAAGACCCTTAACCGGTACCTAAGCCACCACGTGGAATAAAACATTTTTATTAATGATCATTTTCAGGCGCACAAAAAGACAAATATAAAGTCCCCTCGTTTCAAATCCGTGAAGGTTCTTCAGTTAATTTAGATGTAACCGCACCGGGAGCTACAATAGCTTTAGGTCTTATGTATTTGGGAACCGGGAATAAAGCAGTAGCTGATTGGATGGCGCCACCGGAGACACAATATCTCCTGGATTTTGTGCGACCTGATTTCTTGATGTTTCGAATATTAGCCCGAGGTTTGTAGTCCAAAATTAAAGTTTACCCAAATTGTGTTTTTATTCTCTAGCTTTGATCCTTTGGGATGATATTATACCTAGCAAAGAGTGGGTCGAGGGTCAAGTACCGAGCACCATCAGACCATACTGCATGCTAAAACCATCACCAAATTTGGATATTGATTTTGAAGCAATGAAGTGAGTGACTTGAAACAATAAAAAAAGATAATTATTGTTTACATTGCAGCCAAGCTTATTGTAACATTGTGACAGGGGCTTGTTTCGCTCTAGGACTTAAATATGCCGGCTCTGCGGACGAAAATGCCTTCCAGACCTTACTTCACTTCTGTCGCATGTTTACCAACTTAACGATCAAATCCATAGCTGAATTAGCCGGCAAACCAACTGTTGAAACGTGTCTTAATGTTCTGCTTTTGTCGAGCGCAATGGTACCTTAACAAGTTATTATTAGAGGTTTTTATTTAAAAGATTGTTAAAGGTGATGGCTGGGACCGGTAATCTCGAAATAATGCGTTTTGTACGACTTTTGCGTCGCCGTGTAGGTGTCGCTAGCAGTTCTGTAGTAACTTATGGTTCACACTTGGCAATGCATATGGCTTTGGGATTATTATTTTTGGGAGGTGGTAGATACACTCTCTCGAATTCTCCGGAGAATATAGCGGCCTTAATATGTGCTTTTTATCCGAAATTTCCAACTCATAGTAATGATAATAGGTAATTAAAATAGAATTGAATTGAAAAAAAATAATGAATGTCACTCTAGGTACCACCTTCAAGCCTTCCGACATTTATACGTATTGGCAGTCGAGCCGCGTTTAATAATACCAAAAGATGTTCATTCTGGTAAATGTTGTTACGCGTCTTTGAGTGTCGTTAAACTCGATGGGACAAAATCCTTCGTAAAAGCACCCGGAATTATTCCCGATCTTAGTATGTTGAAAGAAGTGTCAATCGAGGATGAACGGTATTGGCCTGTGGTTTTCAAGAGAAGCAAAAATTGGAATTCTCTTATGTAAATCATTCTCTGGTTATAAAATTAGAGTGACATTTTTCATTTTTAGGACAATACTATCCACAAATGGGTTTGTTGAAGTGAAACAAAAGGCGGGTTGTTTGAGCTATATTGCCGATAAATTGGGTTATCACAGCCAATTAGCAAAAACTTTAACTCAGTCTGAAACCGTACCCTGGAACCCTTCACCGTCATCAATTGTTTCATTCACACATGATCAAGCTATTAAATATTTCTGTGATCACTTTCTTTCAACTGATAAATTAAATGCAGAAGAATTGAAATTAACACGAATGTTAACGAAAGTAACGTACGATGCTGTAGTGAAAGACAAACTTGTTATTGTACCTGTTATCAGTTTTCTTTTAAAGGTGACTATCAAGACTGTTAAATACCGAATGACGATTTTTATTTTTAGGTTATTCGTGATATGAGATTGCTACCAAACGCTTTAAATTTTTGGCAAATTAAATTACTTTTTGCACAAATATTATCAACTCAATTGGCTTGTAATTTGATTCAACCGGAAGTAATATTAGCCATAAAACAACAAATAATACAGATTTTAGAAGATTGGGAACCTGGTTTAGCACCTGCCTTGGTGGCTTATACAGAGGGTGATGAATTCACTTTTGATAAAGACACTCTAAATAGGCTAGCCTTGTATGTGATATTTTATGATATACCATTTAGGGAATCTACAGAAGGTGATCCTTTAGAAGTTATACTCAAATTTCAAAACAAATATTCCGTTAGTACCTTAGAGAAAATTATAAAGCTTAGGATGTAAAAAAGCTGTATTTTTATAAAAATGAATATAATATCTGAAGTATTAAAGATTGAAATCGATAGCTGCGATGTCTTTAATGAAGGACCATTTCATTTTTTCCTAAATGGAAGTACGTTAATAAAACTATTACAAAATGCAACTTAAAACTGTTTTTGGTAACTTTTTATGCGATACCCGCACACAAGCGTTGAGCGAAATCTTATTACACTTCGTTTGACAAACTCCGTATTTGTTGTAATAAAAAATAGTTGCAAGATTTAACATACATTTTTAATTCGAAAACTGGGAACATATTTGTAATACATACTATAAAAATACAAAAACATGACAGTTACACACTAAGGAATGACGCTTCACTTTAACTAAATCAATCAATAGAAAGTTAGAAGGAAAATGGTGATTGTTGTTGGTCAGTCATATTGGGAGTAGCAAATTCAATCTGGCCATTTGTAACAGTAGCGGTCATTCCTTCCTCGCCCTGAAAAACAACAAATTACCAAACTATTTACCCAAAAAACAGCCTTACATCGGCGAAATAATTTTCGATAATATGCAAAGCCCTTTCGTAAACTTTCTCATTGTCGTGACTCTGCAAAGCTTCAATTCCATCCAAACCGCCACACTCCTCAATCATTATGGCGACTCTTTCAGCTTGATTTAACTTAGCAGCGGCCTAAAATCAATAATTAGATAAAATTCAAACAAAAAAATTTTTACCGATAAAATATTATTAAGCCCTTCCAGTACTACAATAATGGTTTTACTGTCTTTGGAATTCAAGAGATTACACATAGGTTTCAAAGCTCCCATTTCTACAAGCTGTGCCAATTGAGCTGAAGTTCCTCCACTTGTGAAATTAGTAACTGCCCAAGCTGCTTCTTTTTGTGATTTAAAGTCGCCCTAAAAGACAGCTTTTCAAATAAAATAAACGAAAATAATGTAACAATTACGGTTTGTAGGACGTGAAGAAGATAAGGCAAAATTCCAGTATCTAGGACTTTTTGTATTTGCTCACTATTTCCGGCAGTAATGTTTGAAACTGTCCAAGCAGCTTCTTTGACGATATTTAGCCTACTATGTTGCAGTAAACGTATCATACAATCTAAAGCCCCGGCATTAATTACCATATCAGTCTATCAACATGAAATTATTAATGATTAACAGTTTAATTACATGAAGTTATACCTGGTGATCATTTCCGGTAACAATGTTACCAACGGCTCTCAAAGCCGGAGTTAGGACGGTGCTTTCCTCACTATACAAAAGCATAACTAAGCGATCAATCAAGCCAGTGTCAAGCACAGCTTGAATCTTCTCATTACTACCGTCGGTTAAATAACTCAAAGCCCAACATGTATCAGCCAAAACATCCTTATCATCGTGCGACAAAAGCCTCGCCAAGACAGGCAAAGCCGGTTTGACTAATTCAAAATCGGGGTAAGGATTTTTATTGCGGCAAAGATTGGAAATAACCCATACTGTATTGCGTAACAAAGACAAGGTTGTGTTTGGTTTGATCAAGCTGATAAGACTGGGTAAAACGCCGTAGTTTAGCACCAAATCGCGGCTTTCAGGTCCATCACCTGCGATGTTACCAATTGCCCAAATTGCTTGCTCTACTACGTCGATACGATTTGAAGAGAGGAGTTGTTGGAGTTTGGGAAGAGCGCCTTCTTGAACCACGGCGGCTGTTTGCTCGGATGTGCCAGATGCGATGTTTGTAAGGGCCCAGCAAGCTTCAAACACCAAGGATGGACTGAAATTTTTTCAATGAATTTTCATCCATTGCAAAACTGGAGACTTACTTGTGTGTCTTGCCCAAAAACTCAACACATCGTGGGACAACTCCCAAACGAATCATGTGATCTATTGGTGGATTTCTCTCCCGACTCAGCATCTTGCGGCAGGCTTGAGTTGCCTTAAATTGGAGATTCTCATCAGGGCTCATCATTCCTATTAACGTAGATAAAACCAAGTAAAGTGATAAATCAAGGTGGTTTAATACTATTACCCATCAAGATTTCTTCAGCAGACATGGTAACAAGCGACACAGAGTTGTTCTCTTGAAGAGGAGTTGAAGCCTCTTCTTGTAAAGATATATTTCTTCTCTTTAATAGCTGGTCCTCTTTCTTTGCTTTTCTGAGTTCGATGGTCTGTCCTGCACGTCTGCGACGCATTTCCTATGCAAAAATTTCGTAATTCCCGCAAAAATTGCATCAAATTGAGATACTCACTTCACAATCCTTGCCTTTGTTTTTAAACGAACGAATTCTGTTTTCGTCTCCCATTTTTCTGTAACAAAAGTCCAAGTGCAAGAGGATCACTGATAGGTGAAGAACAAAAAATTGATTTCATGTTTCAAGGGCCTTTTTTAGGTTAAATTATCACATTCGAATACAAATTATTCAATCCACTTACCTCTTGTATTTAAACTAGGCACCAAAACTTTACCAATTAAAACTCTACTTGAGAATAGTTTCAACAACGAATTAAAAAATAAAACGACAAAAATTTTACGATCAAAATTTCCGTTGCACCGTTCCTGTACGTCACATACGTCACACTGACAATTAATGACAGGTAGCCAATAACGAACAATGTTTTCTCAGCCAATGACAATACAATAATGGCCGACTAAAACCACAAATAGAAATATCAAAATTTTTGTACAGTATGAATTTGATTGGATAGTAGTTGGCGCCATAAGTTAAACTGCTACTGACGAATCACATTTCGATAAATTTAAAATGCATGGGTTAGATTGGGTCGAAGCCAAGAACAAAGGATTATTAATTTTTCCTAATTATTCACCAGATTTGGCTCATTTCAGCTATTATTGTCTTATTTAATTTAAGACAGTAAAATGCCTAATCACTCTCCTCTTTTAGTTTATTTATGAATTATTTTTTTAACAAAAAAAAAGTTGCAATTTTGAAAAATATCCAAAATTTATAAAATTAATGTGTTATAACAGAATTTAGACCACACAACGCAATAATAAAATAAAAAACAACAAATTGCTGTTGAAAAGTTTCATTTGGTTTTATTTCTTGTCCATGTTGGTAGCACTGAAACCACTAAATTAGTCACCGAAAGTTCACATGTTCATTGTTGTGCAAAATCATTCGATTATTCACATTTTCCTTGTTAATTAATAATTCAAACTCAAAAATGGCTCTTCACGTCCCTAAAGCCCCGGGCTTCGCCCAGATGTTAAAAGACGGAGCGCGGGTAAGTCACAACTTTGAAAATTCCCCAATGAATTGACATGTGGTCTTCACTGGGTGTCATTCCGGGCCGGCAAAATTACTCAAATTCCATTTTTTCCAGTACTACTCTGGTCTCGAAGAAGCAGTGATTCGAAATATCAACGCTTGCAAAGAATTTGCCCAATCCGTGCGTTCAGCTTATGGCCCCAATGGCATGAACAAAATGGTGATTAACCATCTTGAGAAGCAATTTGTGACCAGTGATGCTGCCACGATAATTAGGGAACTCGATGTTGAACACCCTGCCGCCAAACTGATGATTCTTGCGAGTCAAATGCAAGATTCTGAAGTGGGTGATGGCACAAACTTTGTGATTATCTTGGCTGGGGCTCTTTTGGAAGCTTCCGAAGAACTTATCAGGTTAGGGGTTACACCAACTGAAGTTGCAGAGGGTTATGAGAAAGCCCTTGAAAAGTGTCTTGAAATTCTTCCAAAACTAATCTGCTACGAAATCAAAGATTACAGAAACTTGAATGAAGTGGTTAAAGGGATTAAATCATCAATCCAATCGAAACAGTATGGAAATGAGGACTTTCTTGCTAGTTTAGTAGCCAAAGCGTGTGTTTCAATCCTACCTGAAGACACCACATTTAATGTTGACAATGTGCGTGTTTGCAAAGTATTAGGTTCAGGTCTGCAAAACTCCCAAGTTGTCCAAGGAATGGTCTTTAAAAGACAAGTCGAAGGAGAAATCACTAAAGTACAGAACGCTAAAGTTGCTGTTTACAGTTGTGCAGTTGACGTAATGCAAACTGAGACTAAAGGAACAGTTCTGATTAAAACTGCAGATGAGCTGATGAATTTCAGTAGGGGAGAGGAGAATCTCTTGGAAATACAGATCAAGTCTATTGCTGATACTGGAGCAAAAGTGATTGTCGCTGGCGCTAAATTTGGAGATATGGCCTTACATTACATCAATAAGTATGGATTGATGGCAGTGAGGCTTAATTCTAAGTTTGATGTGAGAAGACTCAGCAAAACGGTAACAAAATCAAAACGCATGTGACAAATTGATTTCACTTTTTTTATTTTCTCAGGTTGGGGCGACAGTGCTGCCACGTTTGACGGCCCCCACACCCCAAGAATTGGGTTATTGCGATGTAGTCTGTGTTGAGGAACTCGGGGATACCCCCATTGTAGTCTTCAGACTTGAAGGCAAACAGTCTCGCATTTCCACCATAGTCGTTCGTGGCGCTACTGACAACTATATGGACGACATCGAACGAGCTATCGACGATGGTGTCAACACTTTCAAGGGTATATCACGTGATGGGCGTTTCCTAGCCGGCGCAGGGGCTGCAGAAGCCGAGTTGGCTCATCAGTTAACTCAGTACGCTGATACTCTTCCCGGTTTGGAACAATACGCCGTGAGAAAATTTGCAACAGGGTTGGAAAGTTTTTCTAAGACTATTGCAGATAACAGCGGACATCGGTCTACTGTTGTTTTAGAAAAAATTCTACAAGCTCATCAGGTGAGTTATTGCAGTGTTTTTCTTTATAGTGTAACATTTTTGTTTGCAGAATGGACAGAAAAATGTTGGAGTTGATATCGATGCCGAAAGCACGATTTGTGACGCTTTAGAAAAGAATATTTTGGATTTGTATTCTTGCAAATATTGGGGGTTGAAATATGCAGTGGGAGCTGCAGCGACGATTCTTCGAGTTGATCAAATTATCATGGCGAAGAGGGCCGGAGGACCCAAACCGAGACAAGCAGCAGGAAGCGATGACGAATCATAAATAGTTTTTTTTTTAATTCGTTAACAATACTTAAATGTTTTGTATTTGCACTTTCACATGTATTATTTAACAACTAATAACAAGTATCAAAAAATATATGTATTTTTCTGAACAAGAACAAAACAAACTTAATTAAATGCATTAATTAATAAATGAATACATGATAAACTATAATGAACTCTGACAAAAATAACGAAAATAAATCTCTTCAAAAATTAAACAGTTATCCTACTAAAGAATATCTTGGAAACGCTGTTAATTACTTTGCAAATTCTGATTAACTGGAGTTGGGAAAATAAATCCCTGAGAATTGATTCCTAGTGGATACCAAGTGGTTGGAATCGTTGGCGAGTAGAAAAATGGTGCTGGTGAAATGTATTGCACGTCTACTGGAGGAGTATAAACTTGGAATGGTGGCGCAGGTACTACCATTTCCGATCCATCTGGAGTATGTGCGTAGATCACCGGAGTTCCCGGAGGAATGGGTATCACAGGTGAAAACACCTCAACTTGAGAATTTGGTGGCGGAAGAATCAGTGGAGGTCTCTCTTTAACAGGTTGTGGCTCAAAATTTCCTGTGTAGTCCTGGAAATTGTCGGGTCTTTCAATATCCTCTTCCGGTTCCACCGGAAATTGAGTGTTTGGAGGAGTTGTACAGTTGTTCCACGAGATGTATGAATTGTCTGCAGGGTAATTGTAGACAAATGGATATTGTGAATCTGAAAGTTTCAAAGTTCCAAATGTGAAGTAAAAAGTAATTATGACAGTTACCATGATAAGGAATCACGTTTGGAGTGACTGGAGCCGATGCTACCATCGGTTTTACAGCAGGAGAGGTCACTGGTTGCGACCACACGAATTTTTCGCACGATGCAGAAGCGGTGTTACTCCAGGGAGTTTCCCAGGAAAACTTAGGCAACGGCGATGGGATCTCCGGTGTTACCAGTAAATTATGTTGCGAGTTAGACATTTGCGGGGGACTTTCCGGTTGATTGTAATTTTGATCGGAATTATTGTGCATTTGCTTTAAAATAATAATTAACGTTATCAATTTTTGTGAATGTACAAATTTACCAATGGAACGCCAATAAAGGCTTCAATGTCTTGTGCAAGCTGTTCCGACGAAACCAATGCTTGAGATTCGCTTTGACTTTTCACTCTGCGTTTATCTCTACGTCTTTTCGGTAACTTAAGAGGCTTAGTATCCGGTGTTGCGGCTTGAGGCGGAGTCGAGCCCTGGTTTTTAGTAAATCTAAAATCACAACATTCGTATAGTGTTGTTAATTAAATCAATTGTTGTACCTGTATGGCAGAGGCCATGGTTTTGCGTCATTTTCTGGAGACAAATCGGTGTAGTTCACAGTTCGCTTTTTGGCCAATTTTGTGACATAAACGACACATTTATTTTCATTTTTAATTATTTCTTGAATGTAACATTCATAAGTTTGGTTGTCTTGATTAAGAATACAACGTGTTCCTAGTATTAAATTGTCATCTCCGTAATACCAGTCACCAAGACGAAGTTCTAAAATTTTTAGATGTGTTGTTCTTGAATTTATTAATACAATATAATGTTTCCTCCCAACCGGAATAAAGTAACGCTTTATTTCCTCATTTTTGACTAAAATTTGGTACATCTTGTACATACTTACTTTATTCCCCCGGAAATAACATAAATGAATTACCGATTATTACTCTTAAAATAAACGGAAATTGAATGAATTGAATCTTTTGAGTGTTTTTTGACATAAACTCCTTGATACCGATTTTTACTCTTAAAATTGCAATTGAATTAACTGAATATTTCGACAAATTATTTCAGATTATTTGAAAAGTATATCATTTTCTTATGTATTATTAATTTAGTCCTGTTGGAAGGAAAATTTTGTATACATCTCTGGAATAAACATCGTTAATCCCTCGAATGAAATAAATGCCCTTAGCTCCCTTTGGTCGTCTCTGGCATTACCTACATTCTCGGGATTAAAATAGTTGTTTATTCCCTTGATACATATACCGTGCGATCGAGAAAGTTAGAGTAGGTGACGATTAATATTCTACAGTTGGCAACACGTTGGCTGGGAATTTTCCAAACAAACTGAAAATGAAAATGATCATTGACCGTTTTCGTCTTGTACATACAGCATTTTTGTAATAACTTGCAACAATAAAAATTCTCTGCTTTAAAGTGAACATTATTTCACTCAAAATGAATAAAACGAAAACTTGTAAAAGTTTTCACTGACATTTGATGTCAAAAATCAGGATTGTCATCTGAAAGACTTTAATCACCGCCTACTCTAATTTATTGATTTTTTGATCGCACGGTATCTCGTGCCACATCCATCAACGTCGCAACTGCATTTTTTGAAGTAAAATAGGTCAGAAAATTTGATTTCTGTGTAAAAGAAGAATCCCTATTGACAAACTTTGAGCCAAAAGGTTCCACCATTTCATACAGGATATTTCACATAATTTTACGAGGCCTGCGCCTGTAAGATGCAATCAATAATACATATTCCGATACGGACTTGATTACAAATTTTGAAAAATTGGATGATCTTCTCTAGTTTGTTCACCCTTTCAAAAATTACAACATTTTTAGTTAGTGATTAAGGTAGATAAACTAGAATCATATTCAGGCCGTCTCTTGATAGAACAAATGATAATTGTTCCTGTGTGAAACACCCAGTACAAGCAAAACATCTTGAAAAGTGACAGACAAGGCATGAGATATAAATAACTATTATTCGCCCATCATAAAATGGTGGCAACAATGACCTTTAATCCCGTTTTACTGTTGTATTTGTTATAGTTTGTTTGGAACCACTATCACATACATACTGCTTTATTTTAGCAATAATATATTAAATATTGTTAGGTGCCAATTCGCAATTAGCATTTTGATTTCAAATGTTACCAAATTTTAATCAAACTTTGACAAAAACGTAGCCCCCCGTACATTCGTATTTTTTGTTGCATTATTATTTTAGTTAATTTAAAAAAGTAAAATACATAGAATCGTTTCACTTACCTCTCCTAACTTCAGTCCAGGAATCATACTCAATGTTCCTATAGATTGTGGGATCAAGAGCTTTAGCTACCTTGAACGGAAAAGGAGCTATATTCATTGGTGATGGCACAACAACGGCATTGTTCTTGTCACCTTCTGGCTCTAATTTCACTGTAGGGTCTAAATTATCATTGCTGTCGGCAAATGATAAAGCCACAAATTCTTTCTCATACAGCATACCATGCACAATTTTTTGTACATCAACAACATCAAAAACATTTTCATATAAAATACTGTAAACAATGGCTAAAAAGGTATCAATTTAACATTTGAGAATTGAGTGAATTAAATTATTACATTGGCAAAAGCCTGCATTTTGTATATGTTCCTTCTCATAGACAACATCATAATGGTCTTCATTCATGAGACACAGCATGAGAATTTCATCTAAGCCTCTTTGAGTAACTTGGAGTACCTTTTGGTGTGCAGCATCGTATACAACAACTTCGCGGCTACCATGTTTAAAATTACAAGATATTCAGTTTATAATATAGTAAGTCTTACTTGTACTTGTGACTGATTAGCTGGATCTCTAGACTACCACAGACTACCATATGCTTTTCTAATAAATCTAAATGATTGTACCATTCGTCTTCATCCTCGAGCAAATGCCAAAAGTCATAGTGATGTCGTCTCCCGTAGTCTATACATTCTTTGCGGACTCTTTCGTGGTAAATTTGACATTGAAACAGCTAGACACACTCTTACAAACAATTTTTTGCGTGTTTATGCGTACTTACCTGTTCACTAACAGCCCGAAATAAGCAGGTCTCATCATAAGCAACATTTTTTCGGTAGAGTCCGATTGAATCCAGCCAATTGTCCACAGCTGCAGGATTTTTCCCCTTTTTCTTACCCCCAGACATTTTTCTCTGTTTCAAATAATCCAACTTTTCGGAGTACAAAAAATATGTTGAATTTTATTGAATTCTGGTGGGAATAAGACACTTAATTGGATCAAAACGGGCACTCACAACATTTTTTTACTGAATTTTTCAGGTAGTCACACGTGCTAACCACGCTTCCAAAAATTGCTAAAAAGTGCTTTACTCAGTAATCAGCATGCGCACAATTAGTCTGTTCTTGTTTGGGTGACTTCTTTTCTGCTTGCACCCATAAGGGGTGTCCAATTTTTAAGTTTTTTATGTTGTTTATAGGTTTTCACGAAAATGAAGAGACGCAACTGTTTTTTCATTAAAAACATGCATAGGTGTTAGGAATTTTGCAATTGCTTTGCTATAATTGTTTAGCTAGTTTCTTTTCTTATTACAATTAACCATATTTTTCTGGTAAAAATCAAAAATTTTTGGAATAATACAGCGTGATCATTTAAGACAGTTTAAGTTCGCAACAGATTAGAAAGTATTTTTGTTAATAATTTGTAACACTGCAACTGGATACCGTTTTATCCAATGCCTTTTTTCTAAAAACCTATTTTTCTGTAGAGTAAAATGTCTTTTATGTAGCAAACATGACAAAAAATTGTTAAAAAAAATTCTATCAACATTGAAACCTATACCAAATTTCAAAATCATCCGTCAACTATGATTTTTCATTTT